GTTTCAGAGAGTCAGAATATGAATGTCATCTGTTACTAGCAAATTATTGATTTCATGAACCTTGTTTCTTAAGCTACATATGTTAACGTGGGCTATTTTGAGCTCTTTTCTTCTGGGATGCTTACTTGTTTTTATTCCTTTACTGGGAAGCTTAGCAGCAGTAGATGTGCTCATGTTCTTTATGTTAGTGTAGGGTGAGCTGCACACCGTGAACTTCCTCCTCGGGCACACCGGCTCAGTGCTAACAGTATAAATCTGGTTCTTAGGCACATGATCACTGCATACAATAGCTGTAGGATCAGCAGAGGCATTCAGGGCAGTTAGAGGGACATAAATTAGGTTACTTATATTGTGTCTACGGACGCCCCTGGTGTAATGTACATTTGCTGAAGCGTTTTGACAACTCTGTGTCACAATGGTAGGGATTAGCCGAGCTGGGCTTGGGTCATTGCTAAATCATTGTCTCAACGCAGCCTTATAATGCCGTGAAAGGATCCAGGAACCCAAATGATTTGGGTGGATCCCATCCTCCATATAAAACGTGTTTTGTTTCCAAAAGGTATCGAAATTGTCAACAAAAGTTACACCCTGCAGCTGCAATAATCATGTAGCCAGTTGTGACGAGCAAGAATCCTGCTAAAGCGTTCAATGCCATGATTCAGAGAGGGCACGGTGCCAGATATGATGCCATGATTCAGAGAGGGCACGGTGCCAGATATGATGCCATGATTCAGAGAGGGCACGGTGCCAGATATGATGCCATGATTCAGAGAGGGCACGGTGCCAGATATGATGGGTTTTTTGTTAGTGTCTATCAGCTCTTTAAAATCCAGTTTCAACTGTTCAGAGCTGCCCTTCATAATGTCGTTAAAACCCAAATGGACAACGATATAATCGATTTCCATGTCCTGGCGTAGTATACATTCGGGAGCAGCTTAATAATGTAATTTACTCGAGCTCCGGGATAGGTCATTGTTTTTGCCCCACGAACGGTCACATTTCTTACCATGGAGCTGCCCAAAATAACGGCTGGCGAGAAGGACGAGGAAATCCGCCCACTCCCACGCTTCACAGGATGCAGGCCTCCGACAGATGGAGAACGATCCAGAGCAGGGACGGAAGGTTGCGGACGTCGACTTCGAAATCGTAGTGGTAGGCACTGCGGCCGCAGACAGAGGCACTCCCAGCGACGAAGGTGCAGGAAGATCAGGCTCCAGTATGGCGGAACTATTCGTTGTTTGTATCCGCTCCGGGCCTCTCGTTTGGAGTGTAGGTAGGTACAGTAGATACAGTAGATACAGTAGATACAGTAGATACAGTAGATACAGTAGGGGTAGTAGGTAGATACATTAGGGGTAGTAGGTAGATACAGTAGGGGTAGTAGGTAGATACAGTAGGGGTAGTAGGTAGGTACAGTAAGGGTAGTAGGTAGATACATTAGGGGTAGTAGGTAGATACAGTAGGTAGAGTAGGTAAATACAGTAAGTACAGTAGATACAGTAGGTAGATACATTAGGTATAGTCGGTAGATACAGTAGGTACAGTAGGTAGGAACAGTAGGTAGGCAAAGTAAGTAGGTACAGTGGGGACAGTAGGTAGATACAGTAGGTAAGGTAGGTAGATACAGTAGGTACAGTAGGAACAGCAGGTACATTAGGTACAGTAGGTACATTAGGTAGATACAGTAGGTAAGGTAGGGGGAGTAGGCAGATACTGCAGTTACAGTAGATACAGTAGGTAGATACAGTAGGTACGGTAGGTAGATACAGTAGGTACAGTAGGAACAGCAGGTACATTAGGTACAGTAGATACAGTAGCTATATACAGTAGGTACAGCAGATAAAGTAGGTAGATACATTAGGGGTAGTAGGTAGGTACTGTAAGGGAGGTAGATACAGTAGCTACAGCAGGTACAGTAGGTAAATACAGTAGGTACAGCAGATAAAGTAGGTAGATACATTAGGTACAGTAGATAAAGTAGGTAGATACAGTAGGTACAGTAGATACAGTAGGTACAGTAGATAAAGTAGGTACAGTAGATAAAGTAGGTACAGTAGATAAAGTAGGTAGGTACAGTAGGTACAGTAGATAAAGTAGGTACAGTAGATAAAGTAGGTACAGTAGATAAAGTAGGTAGATACAGTAGGTACAGTAGATAAAGTAGGTACAGTAGATAAAGTAGGTAGATACAGTAGGTACAGTAGATAAAGTAGGTACAGTAGATAAAGTAGGTAGATACAGTAGGTACAGTAGATAAAGTAGGTACAGTAGATAAAGTAGGTAGGTACAGTAGGTACAGTAGATAAAGTAGGTACAGTAGATAAAGTAGGTAGGTACAGTAGGTACAGTAGATACAGTAGATAAAGTAGGTACAGTAGATAAAGTAGGTAGATACAGTAGGTACAGTAGATAAAGTAGGTAGATACAGTAGGTACAGTAGATACAGTAGGTAGATACAGTAGGTACAGTAGATACAGTAGGTGCAGTCTTTAGATACAGTAGGTACAGTAGGTAGAGACAGTAGGTACAGCAGGTACGGTAGGTAGGTACAGTAGGTGAATACAGTAGGTACAGTAGATAGATACAGTAGGTAAGGTAGGGGGAGTAGGCAGATACTGTAGTTACAGTAGATACAGTAGACACAGTAGGTGCAGTCTTTAGATACAGTAGGTACAGTAGGTAGGTACAGCAGGTACAGTAGGTAGGTACAGCAGGTACAGTAGGTAGGTACAGCAGGTACAGTAGGTAGGTACAGCAGGTACAGTAGGTAGGTACAGCAGGTACAGTAGGGGAAGCAGGTTGTACTGCAAGACTTTATGTCAGAATATGTTAGTTACTAACCAAATATGGAGTTTCGCTGAGCAACTATCTTCATTTTTCTCCAGTTAAGCCCAGTATTTACTTCCAAAAATGGTCTAAATAAAAATGTAGAAACAACCGATAAAATGTATTGTTTGGAAATAATGTGTATTGTTTTGCATGTGCCAAATCCACTTCTTCGGAGAGATCACTGTAGAAACGAGCCCTATATGGTCTACTTAATCTTCTTACATAAAATATGATATTCCGTGTAGCGCGTTTGAAACAACAGGTTGATATGACATTCATACACTTTTGTAAGTGATTAAATCAATGATCTTTCGGGATGTTTACTGCTGCTGGATAAGCCGATTTGTGGGTGTAGGAATGACTGGTTTTATTGGAGGTGCAGCTTGCAGAGCTGTCTAATGGGAAAATGAATAGCAAACTGACCTAGAGAGGAGACTTGTTATATGCATCGTCTCCTCCTCTTCCCAGATACTGGTTCACCTAACATGCTAAACTGAGTTTATGGACCCAGCCAACTCCTTATTAAAAATGTACTTCCACTTGAATTCCACTTGTAGGCTTACCTGACACAGAAAATAGGTGACCAGAGGTTAGAGAGGCAGAACAGTAGACGGAAAGTTGTGGAAAAAGTCGGAACTGAACTGGCAGTCTGCTGAGGGCTGCTGCGTCCGATCCTGGGTACCATCTCCTGCCATTGTGCCCTTGAGCAAGTCCATGGGCGCTGCTCCCTGGTGGCTAACCCTGTGCCTCTCCAAGTGTGTGTGTATTTGGTGGGGTTGAGATAGACGCATTTCTGTTTCTCACAAAAGTTATTCTAGTCTATTCAGAGGACTCATCCCATTCACTTCTTAGGTCATATGCACAAAATAATTCAATCATTAGACTATACCTCATAGTAATATAGGCCTATAACAATTAAATAAACCTTAATTATTTTTGATTGATTGATTACTTACGGTATGCAACAATAGCCTACCTACACTTTGAGTATCAGGCTACGAATGATACCCCCCCACCCAGATAACAGGAATGAATGTCTTGTTGCGTGTGGCGTATGCTGATTCCACGTCTCGCATCAAGGGATCGTACATTCCCTCATTCACCACCGAGCGGCGCCATTTTACCACAATACGCGCGTTGTTCAGGTGCGTGCACCATCCACAAACCCTACAGAGCATAGTCGTTTCGTTAAATAAATGCATGTTGTATTGTTTCAATGCGTTTTGGTGTGGTTTAACGTGCCTGTTGTTAAGGAACAAATCATCGAGTTTAATAAAGTAGTTTCCATAGTGTTTCACCGTGGTAAGAGACATGTTTAATAATTCATTTGATGCAGAAATGTTCATCATTATGATGTAGACTTCGCTGTGATTTAAAAAAAAAATTAACATAGGCCTACAAATGAATGATCAAAGGCCTCATCCGAACAGAGATAATTTATACATTGGGCATATTGGCCTGTAGACTCACAGTATGGGGTAAAAACAAAAAAACATTTTTTTTTATGGAACATGTGAGTGACTGACTATTCATTTATGAATATGCTAGTAAAACAGAAATCTAGTGTGATATTTTCGTTGCAGCACCTGCATTTTATTTTGTGGCAATCGAAACAGTTTCATTTCTGGCTGTGCATTAAGTCCAATCATGAGACATTTTAAAATTAAGATAAATACTGTAGTCATTTCTTTCTTTTGTTTCGTTTCTTATCGGAAACTGAACTGATAGTACCACAGGCAGATAATACAACAGTCGTAATGTTTTAATACTGAAGCTCATGATAGACTAATATATCCATTCGGACGTTTTGTAAACTGTAATTTACCCCCCTAAATTGTCCACCGATGACATGACACCCAGTTTAATTGCCCATTTTGATTGATAGTAAAAACACAACAAAGTATAGCCTGAGTCATATATCCCCTATGGCAAACTGGTCGAGCGAGTTCGGGTGTATGCTGCCTGCGCGCCTTGGCCAATGGAACCAGATCCTCCCTGCAGTGCGTAAGAGCGCAATTTAGGATTTAACCAAGTCTTTGCTGCGGGGCTGGCAGCAGTTCGAGAGAGCCCGTCGGCGTAAGCACACATCACACAATGCAAGTGTAGTCTTCAGTCAGTCTTCAGACATCTCAGTGGAATCAGACTCCCCTTTAACGTTGCTGCTTCGAACTATGACTGGAGTATTCGACCGAAGGATTCCGAGTATCAAACCTTCCGACTTCCAGAACCCTTTTCAGCTTTCCACCACCATGCATCACCCGTCTCAGGAATCCCCTACGCTACCCGAGTCTACGGCCACGGATTCTGGCTACTACAGCCCCGCTGGAGCAGTGCACCATGGCTATTGTTCGCCTAACTCCACCTCGTATGGGAAACCTCTCAATGCCTACCAGTACCAGTACCACGGCGTAAACGGATCTGCGGGAAATTACCCTGCAAAAACATACCCAGACTACAGCGCATACACAGCCTCTGCTTACCACCAATATGCTGGAACTTATAGCAGAGTACAACCACAACCATTAAGTCCTCAAGGTAATTAGCCTACATAATTATTATTATTATAAGTGTTGTTGTTATTATTATTGTTATTATTTAATGAAGTTTGTGTTGTGTTCGAGCTCTCACACTGTTTTTACATGCGAATAGCCTATTTCAAGCTGAGATATTTTCCACCATGTTAAATTCTTGAAATCAAATTTGGTAAAGGGGCACACATTTTTCTGAAAAATAATTATGTAAAAAGTACGGACTTTTCCTTTACCGGTTAGACTCTTTGCAAGACGCATTTGCTTCAATCTAACTGTCTATAAATCGACAGAGAGCCTTCCCTAAGAGACATGTGTCCACGGGATGTCCTCTTGATTTGATCTCTCTGAAATAGATGGTATAACCAAGAACTAATACTTTATACTTTGTTAGTTTATACACCACATATAAAGTAATTTATTTTTTTCTTTCAGAAAAAGAGGTAGCAGAACCTGAAGTGAGGATGGTAAACGGAAAGCCCAAGAAAGTCAGAAAACCAAGAACAATCTACTCCAGTTTTCAGCTCGCCGCCCTACAGCGGAGATTTCAGAACACACAGTACCTCGCGCTGCCGGAGAGAGCAGAGCTCGCGGCTTCTTTGGGACTCACGCAAACGCAGGTAAATAGCCTACAACCTCATTGTCTGTTCAAAGTTGCGTTCTGTTTTGTTTTTAAAATCAAAATGATCACTTGGTCTATGTTGCTATCCTTCACTGGAATTGTCAGTTCAAAATGGCATTACGTTTACAATATACATTTCATGCTTAATGTGTGCGTAATGAACGAAAACACCTCGCCCCATTTTAGAAAATTTATAGAACGCTTAATTCATATGAAGACTTTTGTGCAATGGAATTTTTAATTTTTTTTATATGCTTTTATTTATGAACTCGTTTTAACATAATTCTCATACATCTCCAGGTCAAAATCTGGTTCCAGAACAAAAGGTCGAAGCTGAAGAAAATCATGAAGAACGGCGAACTCCCACCGGAACACAGCCCGAGCTCCAGCGATCCCATGGCTTGCAACTCTCCGCATTCCCCCGCCGTCTGGGATACGCAGGGCCCGTCCAGGCCTCACAGCCACCAGGCACAGAACAACAACTCGGCGGCCTCCACCTTTTTGGAAAACTCCGCCTCTTGGTACTCCGCGGCTGGTGCCATGAATTCTCACCTCCAGGCCCCCAACTCGATACAGCACTCTTTGGTTCTCGGATCGGGGACGTTATACTGAAATCCAGTTCAACAAATATTTTCATTGTATGGGACTCGTGTTTAAAAGATTCAGAGGAATATGCAATGTTTTGATGACAGTCATAGAAGAACGTGTATAATGTGTAAATGTGTGCATGTAATTTATTGCATTTTGGAAGACTAATTAAACGTTTTAAATGGACAATGGAACTCAGAGACTTTCAATGGCGCCCTCCTGAATTAACACTTTAACGCAATTGTTTTGCTGAAACCCACAAATCCCTCATGATTACTGATATAGCCTGTAGGCCTAGATAGGCTATTCACACTGAATATCAAGGACTCCATAACATTACAACATTAGCCTACTTTCTGTGAGACACTTTAAATCCATGTACAGCTCAAACTCGAGATTAATTGCCTGAACTGTCTGTGTGCCCATATTTGGTCAGTGGTGCAAAGTAGTGATTCACTTTAAATAATAATTTGTGCACAAATCTATCAACAAGGAGATGGGTCTAATGACCTTGGGCTACACAGTTAGGCTGTTTCATTTTCAACAACCACGGACATCTCAGGGGGAGTTACCTGCAGGTATTTCAAAAGGTTAGGCTAGATTTATTTCGTGTCAAGTTATTAATTTTGAATACTACAACATTTTACATTTACATTTTAGTCATTTAGCAGACGCTCTTATCCAGAGCGACTTACATGAGCAATTAGGGTTAAGTGCCTTGCTTAAGGGCACATCGACAGATTTTTCACCTAGTCGGCTCGGGGATTAGAACCAGCGACCTTTCGGTTACTGGCACAACGCTCTTACCCACTAAGCTTACCCACTAAGCTACCTGTTTTATGGTTATGTGCATATAATCATGCCCATAGTAAATAGTTTTCAGCGGATCCATAACTGGCTAAAACAGAACCCATATCGAAGAGAGAAGCATCATTGAGTGTATAATAATTCATTTTTTTTGAATTTCAATTGAATTTGGATGGATTGATTGCAGGTATCATATTATATTATTCGTTTTAAAATATGTTTTCCTGAAAGACAAATACCCAAGGAATGGCATGATATTTTTAAATCTATTAAATAGTCATAAGAAAACATATAATTTAGTTTTTTTTCTTGTTGTTCGTGTTTAACAAGATGTAAACCAAACAATAAAACGTTGTGAAGATACACACAATATTGATACTTTTTTCTTCCAGGTTAATTCTAGTTTTAGGTTTATGTTAAGACGAACAAATAAATTAGGTCGTATTATTATTAGGCTATTATTATTCATTAATTCGTGTTACAGTGAAGCACATTTCAGTCTTGTGTTTTGGAGTTGCATCTGGATTCTGTACTCCCCCAAAGAATATGGGTGTCGGTCTGGCAGACAGTCTGCAGTAGTGCTCTCTTTGTGTCCCCTACAATTAGCTGCTTTGAATGGCAGAGAGGAGGCGAAGGGGAGGCACGTAGATCTGAGACAATCCGCATTCCTGTGGGGGCCGATCGGCTCCAGAGCTCTGCCACTCCCGCGGCCACAGCCCGCCTCCGTCAGACCTTCCGGGTAAAATAAAATCTTCAACATTTGAACATATCATTAGGCCTACTACCAGTGTTGCCACTGCAAACCACTAAACAAACTAGGCCTACTGCACTGAAGCGAACATCTTGTTCCAGACTTTACATAAAACATGTTATCATTATGCATCAATAGCCTATATAAACGAATCAACCAAGAAACAATCACACTACAACACACACACACACACAGGGAGAAGACATATTTACCACCAATTTTAGCTGGCCTGGACACATGATAATGTTGTGAAGCGTCTGACCTAAGGATAGACAATACATAATACACCAATGTTAACATGGTTGTGCATGTAACTGAATGCTCGTCTCCTCTCTCTGCTTTCCCCAAAGGCATGACTGTCCTGGCTGAATATAGCCTTACCAAGCAAGCGATGCACTTGTCTTGGCTGAATATAGCCTTACCAAGCAAGCGATGCACTTGTCCTGGCTGAATATAGCCTTACCAAGCAAGCGATGCACTTGTCCTGGCTGAATATAGCCTTACCAAGCAAGCGATGCACTTGTCCTGGCTGAATATAGCCTTACCAAGCAATGCACTTGTCCTGGCTGAATATAGCCTTACCAAGCAAGCGATGCACTTGTCCTGGCTGAATATAGCCTTACCAAGCGATGCACTTGTCCTGGCTGAATATAGCCTTACCAAGCAAGCGATGCACTTGTCCTGGCTGAATATAGCCTTACCAAGCAAGCGATGCACTTGTCCTGGCTGAATATAGCCTTACCAAGCAAGCGATACACTTGTCCTGGCTGAATATAGCCTTACCAAGCAAGCAATGCACTTGTCCTGGCTGAATATAGCCTTACCAAGCGATGCACTTGTCCTGGCTGAATATAGCCTTACCAAGCGATGCACTTGTCCTGGCTGAATATAGCCTTACCAAGCGATGCACTTGTCCTGGCTGAATATAGCCTTACCAAGCGATGCACTTGTCCTGGCTGAATATAGCCTTACCAAGCAAGCGATGCACTTGTCCTGGCTGAATATAGCCTTACCAAGCGATGCACTTGTCCTGGCTGAATATAGCCTTACCAAGCGATGCACTTGTCCTGGCTGAATATAGCCTTACCAAGCAAGCGATGCACTTGGAAATCCAAAACATGGACGTGGTTTAAATCAGCCTAATTTCTGCAGTTCACGTGGTTCCGTAATTACATTGCCAGTAGGCTACTCGAGAAATCTACGTTTGATTTTCATATTACTGTTTATCCCCCCTCCACCCCCGTCCTCCAACACACACACACGCCATTATATCGAGAGCCCCGTTAAATTCCAACTGAACATTTTCCACTCAGCGAGTTCCCCTGCAAATCGAGTCTAAATAATGACAGTTAGCTTTACTAGCTTCAACTATAACACTCAACAATAATTATACTCCAGGATTAGGCCTCCATTATCCTAATCTGGACATTGACAATTACCTATAATTTGCAAAGATGCGCTTGCTTCTTGATTGCAGAAGGCTTTTTTCTAGCTCACCATCACTAAACAGTGACAGTAATAACAGCTAATTTTGCAGGCAATATATAAGAGGTACCGGGGTGTGCAAACACTTTCACACCTGGATTTGCTTACTCAACCACGAGCAGTAGAACCGTGTTCTGTCGCAGACAGTGTTCCCATTCGAAGCCCAAGCTTTTTGACCACTGCTAACACTATTGTAGGCAAAAGAATCGTATGAAGGTAAGGCTATATTTTTTATCATGATGGAGCTATCTCAGTATCCTAGCTAGGTCGTTGCGCTCTGTGAATCCCTATGAAGGATTGTTACATACTTTCGTTTTAGAATGTTATAACCTACCTTATTTTAGGTGACACTCTTGATTGTGTTTTCTAGGCTTTTGGAAGTGATGTGATAAATAGCAGCATGCATTCAACACTAGCCTATACTGGCTTTTATTCTAGCCTATCTATTTGTCATGTGTTTTTATTTGTCAGACGGGACTATTTTATTTATATATATCTAAAGACAACCTTTGCCAATTCGGATTTTAGAATCAATTGCAATCATGACGCCAAACTGATAAAATACTAGGGATAGCCTGAAACCTATAGTGATATCCGGTAGTGATAATATACCCTGGATATATGGTTTGTCTCCTAACCTACAGCAGACTAACATACTGTATCCATCTATCTTAGCCAGAAAACCACAAAGATCTGGGAGCGTGGACATCTCTCTCTCTCTCTCTCTCTCTCTCTCTCTCTCTCTCTCTCTCTCTCTCTCTCTCTCTCTCTCTCTCTCTCTCTCTCTCTCTCCCTCTCTCTCTCTCTCGATGTAAATATTCAATTAATCATGGCCTCCCAAGAGCTCTGGTCCTCATGTTCTCGTTTGTTCTCTTCGGTTCCCTCTCCCTGTCTCATCAAGTCGCTTTCTATCTAAGCTATATCTATTTTTGTACATTTGAATCAATTTAATGAAATAATATGAAACATTTGCATTGTTTGGGCCTTTTCACAACTTGGATGCCTCCACCAATGAGAAATAGCATTCTTGCTATTGCAACTATTTGCATATCCTATAAAATTAAGTTTTTATGACGATATAGTCTTATTGTAAAAGGGGTGATTTGCGGGGAGTCCTTCGGGTGTGAAAAGATTTGGTATGGCGAAATTCACCACCCGACGCACTTTTCTGCTTTACGAGTTACTCTCGGCCAATATAGGAAAGGTATTAAGTGAAATGTTATTTACGAGGGTTTGGGGAATAACTCAGACTATATAGGCAAATATAGGCCTATAGATATGGTCGTGATAGGGTCTGTTTTGGTCAAATGGGGCCCATGCAGGTATACTGTGGGACATCCACGACTTGACAGCTGCAGACACTTTCTCATTATTTTTTTCAACATTGTAATTTCAGATAATATCCCAACCGTTCACTGCTCTCAGCAATTTGTATATGAATAACCGAATAATTTCCCTCTTTTGTTCCGCGTATGTGCTACCTCAAATCCAAATAAAGATGCCTTTTAGTATTAAAAGTGGTAGAAAATCACAGGTAATTATCTTTGACGGTAAAATCGCTGTAATCAGCGGGCTACATAAAAAATTACCCTAATTATGCCTGCATTTATGAGAATGGAAAAAAAGCCTCACTTAGATAAAACCCATAAATTGTCCCAAATTTCTCCTTCATATTGAACGGGACTGCAGCTGGATGCTTTGTTCAAGATCGATCCCGTGGAGCTTGGCATTTAGCGTCTTGCATTAGGACGGGCAGAGAGGAGAAAAACATTGTGTCAATACTTCTAATAATTGAGGCAGAAAATGACAAGATTAACTGGACAAGGAGCGACCATCTTTTGCGGGATAAATTGAGAGGGGAGCAGGGTAAGTTAATTTCCTCTAGTGTTGTTTAATATATATTGACAATTTTGTTCGTTTGCAGTGCATTGACAATGTCTATTTTTATGAAGAGGAAACATAGTGTTATGACGTATAGCCTGTAAGTTTTTCATGAAAAACCATATGGGACCTACATTTTAGAACGTCCATATGACACCTTGACAAGGAATGGCTCATCAGTCATTTTTACATATATCAATCATCTTCATCTTGCAGTACAAAACACGATACTTTGTTTTAAGTCATGGATTAATCCATTTATGAAAGACAAAACATAAAAAGTGAATGTACAACTAAAATCGAATAATATATTTACAGACAGATTGCTTTGTTTTGCATGAGAAAAACACCCAGTCAAAGAGCAGTTTAGATTTCAACAATATATCATAGCATCATGTTCAACTCGCAAAAAACGCTTGAGTGTAGTCCATTCTGTGCCCAAGTGATGGGTTAAATGTCAATGATATATTTGGTATATTGACAGTCAGATGTTGACATGAATGAAAGCAACAAAGGCAATCCCACTGAACAGTCATTCGTAAGTTAATACGGTTAGTTCCTTTAGCGTGTTTCATATCACAGTCTTTGTCCTCAAGTATCCTTCACAAGCAGCCGATCTTGTCTCCAAGGAATCTCTCTGTTCGAACGCGACACCCCTTTTGTCTCGAGACTGACGGAAATCAATTGTGCAGGTAAAACTGTGAAGGTTCGAACGTCTCGAGTCAGACCTCGGGCCTTCCCGCCCTTTACGCAGTCTATCTCTGCATTGTCTCTTGATGTGGGGAGGAGTACCAGTGGGAATACCCGGGCATGTAGCCGTTGGCCGCCATGTTAACTCCTTTGCTGGACGCTGACACGTCCCATATTGGAGGAATTGCTGGAGACCGGGGAGACAGGCCGATGGAACCAGGCATAGTAGGGTCGCTCTCATGCGGGTTGCCACCTGCCTTCAGCAGCTTCTTGAACTTTGACCTTTTATTCTGGAACCATATCTTTACCTGCACAAGATGGCAGGAAGGCAAGGGAAGACCAGATTACAGATAATGATTATATCATGAATGTATTTATTCATCTATTAACATTTTTATAAATAGGCTTATAGACCAACTGATATGATAAATATGAGTTAGGAGGCCTACATAACATTATTACAATACATTCGTGCAGGCCTATAGGTAAAAAAGTAAATATTATGAAGGAATCCTAAATTGGTCAACAACAGAAACACAATACCCAGAGCAATTTTAGGGTATAGGGTAATAATAACAACAATAATAACAATAATAATAGGCCTACTAATAATACTAATAAATACTAATAATACAAGATAATAAAGCGCTAATAGCAATATAATAATGTATACCCTTCTGTATAATAATGAATGTTTTGAGAATAGGCCTACCTGTGTCTGTGTTAGTCCGAGAGATGCAGCCAGCTCAGCGCGTTCTGGCAGGGCGAGGTATTGTGTTTGCTGGAAACGGTGATTTAAAGCTTGAAGCTGCAAACTAGAATAAATCGTCCGAGGTTTGCGAATCTTCTTGCCTTTCCCGTTGAAACGAATTTCTCCGTTTTCAATCACTGTTGTTTTCTGCTGCTCTGCAACAAAAAATGGCAATGTTAGTCCACTAAGGCCAAACATATTCCACAACAAATAGGCCTAGTTTATAATTCCCCAAATATAATTAATTTCAGAGAATATAATAGGTCCCAATCTATTTAAACGGCTACATATCTAATAAGGAAAATATATGAGAAACACAATGATAGGCCTACTCTATTAAATCCAGACCACTAATACATATTCACGTGTCACATTCGCTCAGTCCACTCCACCATTATTGTAATCATCATCGAATTTTCTGTCATATTTAGGATATTCCTCGTAATGACATGCCAATTAAATGCTAATTACAACGTTCAAAGCGAGTAGACCGCCTAATTCCAAGAATAATTCGTGAGGATTCCTCACTTGTCATTATACCCGGTGCAAAGAATGGCCATAGAATGGGATCTCGCGGAGTGTTCTATAGAAAAAAAGAGACACCATGAACTAAATATAATGTAGAAAAAAATAGACAACAGATAAATTGTCATTCAGACACAATTTGAAATTAATTTGCCATTCAACCGTCTGCTGGACGTTTATTGTGCTTTATCTTTTTCTTGACCAAATTAATAAAAAATAAATGGCACTCGCATTGTTATCGCTGCACGATGAAAACGATAGAGAGCATATTTCTTGTCATGAATGGGAAAGCATCTTACCTGTGCCGTCTAACCTTGTCTGACCGCCAGTGGTGTTATTGTGGTAGGATGGCAGGTACGGGCTGTGGTGGGGGTGGCTCACGTAGGAGTACGGTAGCGACCTGTTGTAAGAATTGTTGCCGGAGTACGGAGAGTTATCGTGCTGATGATGAGCTGGGTGCGACCCGGAATGGAGACAGTGCAGCGGGTAGTGGCTGGCAGCCATCGACGGAGAGCTCTGTTGTGAGTGAGACTGCTGACCAAACTCCATGAAAGCCGACTTGGACGAGTCCTGTGCCTCCAGACCGTTAGCCATCGTAGTCATGGTCATCATCAAATGTTCTGCCTTGAGAGCACTCGCCCCCTCTCTCAAGTCCAAATGGGTTCTCTCGCTGTGTTGTTGTCTCTCTCCTCAGCGAACAGATATTGTCCTATTAAGACCCGAATTATTCAATTGCTTCGATTTTTTTAATCCTCTGGTATTCTTACTTGGTATGGCGCAAGTTGGGCATAAGTTAATGCAGAGATTTAAGGTGGATTCTGTTAAAATTGAGTCCTTGCTTCCAGACTTGATGCAGACACTACAAGTAAAATGGTTTGTCTTCAAAGGGCAGCGCCTTCTGATTGGTCATTCAACCCAACGTCATCAGTTGTGTGCTTCACTAGTCTTCAGTGTGAGTTAACCCACCTTACCAGCTCCCACTGCAGCCACAACTATGGTGGGAGAACCTCTTAATTCCTACAGACAATATAGTCAAACGCAAGGTATAATCATTATGCCAGCCCAAACTACGCAAACCATATCCTACCCCAGTTTGATTTAGCCTAATGAACGAATATCATTTTGAACATACCATATCATCACCCTGGAAATATACGGACACAATTTCTATACCATCGTAATAATTAGGTTATTCAAAGAACAACTGCATGCGACGAATCAACAAGATGACAAAAAAAATGTAATGCAGATAGGAAGGATGGATGTCGTGATAAACTGACAGTATCATTTATCCCTTTTGAAATAAGATGCTTGATAGCCTACCGTGTGAAATATACGCAAATTATACAGTGCGGTTTGAAAAATTCTGTTACAATATAAACTATTAATGCAAATGCTATAAAACATCTCCCAATTATACTTTCATATAGCCTATTGGAAGTAAAAACAAAAACATTATTGTCAACACGTTTTTTTTTTCATAGTGTGGGATTCATTTATTTCAAAATGGTGATGAAAAAGCATTTACGGTCGCAATCAGTTATAACCAAAACCTATTTGATTAACCACCACCCTTTATTTAAATTGGAGCTATAAAATTAAGAACAATTCGCCTGTAATGATTATAGACTGGGTTTATTTTGGGAAGGTGGAATAAAACTGAATATAGCATAAATTATCTCCTAATTATACGCCAGTATCGCATCAATTATCCTCTTATCAAAAATGGTTGTCTAAATGCAGCGTTTAGTGTCAATGTTCTCCCTTTCTATAAGAAGAACTTGGTACCTTGCTATTATTGCCAAGCTTGTTATTTACTTTGTGGGATTTAAAAAGTGCACAACCTAGCCGGATAATCATTTTCCAGCAGTGGACCAAGCGAGAAGCACAGAGACAGTTGGCAGATATTAAATATATGAAATGCCTTTTAATATTGGATTTTAAACCAAGGCCTTCATATAAAAACGAAATATTTTAAGGTTATTTCTATATGGACATCAGGAATGTAGGTAAGAGACCCAAGAGACATGTCTTCTGCATGATGGATTTTACAATTCTTTGTTTGTAAAAAGAAATGTATGCACGCATGACTGTAAGTCGCTTTGGATAAAAGCGTCTGCTAAATGGCATATTATTATATTATTATAAAGCTATATGGGGATTTATGCATTTGTTCAGATAAATTAAATGAGGTAGGAATCAATGCAATTCTTAGTACCTTAACGGACGTAGAACAGTGGCTTTACCTGAGATATAATAGCCTAAACGTCGTCATCCCTGAATGATCTAACATAGAATGTCTCATCCCGAGTTCCACCTCAACACGCAGGAGAGAAACCAGATCCATACCTTTTCTAATCGGCTTCGAATGGCACAAGACAAACGTTGAGGGGCTTTTCCATGCTGTTGCTTGCATGCTTTACTATCTCGGTACTTGATTAGTTGAGACATCATAGTTTATTACCTTTTGGAGACCGCAGCATCATCACCTACCGTGACAGTTGTATGACCTCCGAACATGGTTAAAACAATTGTATACATTGATTGCATGTAATGTGGAAGTGTAGCATAGTGTGTCCCGCAGGCGCGATAGGAAGCTGTACACCAATGGAGATTAATTGAGGTGGTGAAAATAATGAAAGATCACTGGCTTTTTTTGTTAGTCTAAAGACACAGTGTGATGATGGACGTAGGCTATGATTCGTCTTATGACGATGTGGTGCATTTATATGTCTGAGTAGTAAGCTATACATGCAATCAATGTATACAATTGTTATAACCATCATGTATTGTTTTGAGAGGAAATGTATTTGCTTATATTGATGCTGTGCAATTTTATAAAGTATACATACATACATATATACATATATACATACATAGGCCTAGTTACATATGTTGCTCTCTTTTCAAGGCCTTAAAGGCTATAGCTCTCCATTTTTTGGCATAATTCAGGGGAGATTATGCCTCAAATTTACCAAAAGTTAATGGGAAATGTTAAAATGAACAAATGGCAGCTGTGAAAAACGATTTTAGCTTTCCTGAGTAGGCGATTGACCTCCAACGTCAAATCAATGGTTGTGCTGATTTACAGAAGTGGTCTTTAATTCAAGCTGTGAAAGATGACTCTAAAATCACTCAAACCACTGGGAATAGGCATGGGATTCCTAAACTGGAACTGCATTGTCTATGCAAAAATAGGCTGCCTAGTAGAGCAACACAACGCACAATATGGATATAGCACAATAATAATAATAATAATAACAACAACAACAACAACAGTGGTTACTATCAATAATTATTAGTAAAGGCCTATTGTCTTATAAGTCTCTTCTAAAAGGAACTCTGTGTATGTATATGTGCCTGCGCGTGTGTGTGTATCTGTGTGACTGTGTCTGTCTTTGTGTCACGTGGATTTGTGGCGTTTTGAGTCTCTGTGTTTAAAATGACTACACATGTTAATCATATTTGAACGTTAACATGTAGCCCGCACAAAACACATTAATATTTCTGCCAAGTGGCTGGGACTTTGCGGTAGCTCGCTCTAACAGCTATTGACTGGCATGCATGTAGAGCTCTGCTTTCAGGAGCGTTTGGGACGTTGGGACTTGCGAGTCTAGCAGAAGCAGTTAAAAGTGTCTCTCTTCTCTAGAACTCAAACCCACTGGGTCTTCACAGACTTAAAGTCGTCGATGGATTTCCATCGCTGCAGTGTGAGGGAATTGGCGTGGGGAAAGCGAATGCAGATGGATGCCACACACAGCTGTCTAACACGAGTCACTGTAATACAAATCAGAAGGGGATCATCTGAGTCTGCAGTTCCCCAAACATCACCAGACGGCGTTCCTTGTTTGCTCATAGCAGAGCTAATCCTTCTAACACCATAGTGAACAACATTTGACGCGCTTTTACGCAAGATGACTGTGCAGAAAAGTGTGGATCGTAAATCATCTAGGCATCCACACCACAGGAGGCTGGTGAGGGGAGGACGGCTCATAATAATGGCTGGAATGGAATTGAATGGTATCAAATACATGGAAACAATTCCATTTATTCCGTTCCAACCATTACTATGAGCCCGTTCTCCCCAATTAAGGTGTCACCAGCCACCTGTGATCCACACATAATATCACATTAACAAAACAACAGTGATTGCTGGTTATCTGCATGTTGAAATGAAGACTACACTGATCTGATTCATTTCAACGGATGTCAATGGATCTTTCTCAATCATCAGAAACATATAGGCCTAATGCAGAAAGTGTAACTCAACCGAAACATGACCATTTCTAAGAGCATAGCACAGCAGGATAGGTAAAGGCCTATAGGCTACAACTAGACTGACTGGCGATGAGTGATGTCGAAAAACTAGTTTTGGCCTAAATTATGCACCATTAGCCTCCATAGTCCAATGGATTTCAATCAAAACATTCGAAACTACTGCACTAAAACGGTGACTCATACACACCAAGTATTAACATTAATCTCGCCTGTTTCTTTTTCTCGCCTTTTGTGGAAGCACTCGATGTTTACTTTTTAAATAATTACTGAGACAACCTGAAGCTGAAATATAGACCGAGCTTTTGAAATGAACGAACGAACGAACAACTCAATAAATCGATTTTCTGATAATTTTCTTCAAATTGTGAATAATCGAAACACTCAGAATGCATTGTTTTATTGAGGGGATTCATGTTCACTGATAAAGACACTGTAGCCATTGCACCTGCAAACACATATTGTTAGGTGCCAAGTCATACATTTATCAAATTAATTTATGATGAGGTTGACTTTCTCTGATGGTTTATATGTGGATTTCAAGTGAATGTCTTGCTAATATTGAAAACATACTGATGATAAACATGTACTTATTGTCATGGTCTTATTGGTTATGCGAATACAAAATCCATCTCAAACAATATGGCCTAATGTTATCTCAGAGACGTATATATAAGTGTTATCTGCACAGTGTTTTTACAGAAAGACTAGTCTAATGAGTCAGGCCTATCACTAATTTACAAATTGGACGATTTATTTCCACCAAGATGTCTACGCCGCAATTAATCGAAATGAAGCTGCTGGCTGTGCCGAACACCTTTAATCTTCGATGGGGACAAATAAGAACACCGCGGCTTCCTTCCCTTTAGTGCTTTTTCTCTCTCTCTTGACTTAATACGCAACATTATTAGCTCTGACAGCACACTGCTCGGGTTTGAAGGAGAGGATTTCGCAGAGAGATGACAGACAGGAAGGCCAGCAATCATGGGCTTTTTTATCAGAATATACTGTTCGATGCCGTTTATCCCTGATGATAGAAAATTGCTATGTTGCCAGGACGCTGCTGCCGAAATAGAGGGCAGGAGCAATTTCCATTTTCCAGTTTGAAAGGCATTGAAATGAATTAGTAAAATGAAAAAAGAAAAAAGAAAATCGTCCTAGTAAACGAAGGGGGGCAAACAAAGATACCCTTTTTCTTGCCGTGAGCCCTATTTTCATTTTGTAATTTTTTCGTTTGCAGCCACATCGAGTGAGGCCTTCGGTTCAACACTTGCAAATCACACAGCCTTCTAATGTACTTCAAAGGCAATAATTAATTTCCAAACCTCCAGAAA